TCATATCTTTCAATATCTTCTACAAAAAACATTTAAATTATATCAAATTATATTTTTATATCAAATTGTATTTTTCTCGAATATATATATTTATTAATATCAAATTATATTTTTTTCAAAATCATTTAATTTTTATCTAAATCTATTTTTTAAATTATTGATATATAATTCATTGTTATATTTTAATTTCCTAGTTTTAGACAATTTAACCAATATATACAGAATGTTGATATATTTGTAATATAATTGAAGAATCAATTCTAAAGTCAAAACAAAAGTTACTATACAAAAAGTTTTTATTGAAATTTTTTTACTAAGTTATAAGCAATTTTGCATTAAAAAAAAAGAGATATATAAAGCTTTATCCCTGATATACTATTCTTATATACTATTCTACTTTTTTATTCTATTTTATATATTTTATATACTATTTTTATTATATTCTATATATTCTATACTATTTTTATTATAAGCTAAATTTTCAATTTATTAATTTAATAATTTAAACGAATTTTTTAACATTAACTTTTGATTTGTTAAAAAATTTTTTTGATTTTTAAAATCGATTTTCTGAAGATTTTCCAGGAATATTATATTAACTCGATATATATGTATACATAATTCTATACATAGTTTAAGGGGATAATTTTACATCGTTATATTAATAATGATATTTTTTATTTGTTTTAGGTAAGTCTCGCAATTTTATTCCTTGAAACTGAAACGTCATCATTTTTCTATGAGGATGTAAGGAATATCATCATCATGAATGATATAACATTTTTCATAACGTAAGTTATTTACAATAATGGATATGATTAATTTAAGATTCAATAATATGAAAATTAAATTCGAACTAAAATCTATTTAGAAATAATTTTATTTTGTTTAGCTCTTAAAAAATCGAATAACAATTACAAGTTATTATTTATTGTTTTAAAATATATGTATCTTTATGCTTTATATTAAAAAAACGAAATACTATATATTTATTGATTATGATAAATATTTTTTTGAATATTGAAATCTAATTAATTAAAAAAAGAAAAAAAATTATTTTAAAATACATAATTTATAAATCTTAATTTTATAATTTTCAATTAAAATATTACATATATCTCTTAAAACATTATTATATCATTCTCCTAAAATTGTACAATTGTATACACTGTGTGACATTATTAAAATTCTACATTATACTCTCACTCTTAAAAACAATTGCATCAATTATTTCCCTATTACAATACTCAACTCTCAATACCTGCATAATCAATCTTGCTTAAATCATTTCCAAAACCATATCCCCAAACTACCCTAGGTAGAATTAATGACCACGATACTTCTTCATGATATTTCTCCCTTTGAAAATTTGATATCGAATTAAACCTCGATGAATAATCGTATCCCAAGCAGAAGGGAGAGTATTCGAGAGCACTTGACGAAAGGAAAACTTGAATGCCTCCTCCTATTTCTCTCTTTTTTTCCCCTGTCTTCTCTCTTTTATTTTTTTTTTTTCATTTTCCTTCTTTTTTCTTTTCTTTTTTCCTTTTTTTTTTTTTAATCTTCATCCACTCGAAACTTCGTTTCCTCTTCGATCGACTCGAGGACCGTCTGCGGAGTGTTGGAAACACGCATTGAAACAGTTTCGCTTTGATCTACAGCGCGTGGAATCTCGTTTCCTCTTCTATGGTCGCTCGATTCCGCGCGTACACGCGCGTGCTCACTCGAAGCCTGTTGCTTTACCAATGGCATAAGGTGTTCGCATAAGGTTAACGAGACTATTCTATGTTTAGACAAAGTGTTGTCCCGACAGAATTTCGTGGAAAGTTTGATTGTGGTTTTGTGGCTTGAGCTTTGTTTTCAAGTTCCTTTAGTTCTGTTTGAATTCTCAATTTATAATCTTGAAAGAAATGACTATTGTTATTCTTATTATATTATTACATTGATCACGAAATTACTCGAATATTATTTTATATGAAAATTTAATAATTCTAGTTTGAATTAAAAACTTTTTTAATAAATTATATATAGAATAATTTTTTTGTCGATGGAATGAAATCAAATTCAAAAAGTTTTAGTATATTTTTAAATTTGGATATAATTTTGTCTGGGAATTTTTTTTATAGCAGATATAATATAGATATAATATAATAATAAAGTATTAAAATTTAAAGATTTTATAATTTAGAATCTTGTATCATTATAAAATTATATTTAAAAAAGGGAAAAATCTATTGAAACTTTAACTATTAAATATTCATTTCACTTTCTTTATAAGTAATATTTGGCAGAAAAAAAATTCATGTACAATCCATTGTAGTTTGCATATTTATGAACATTCGTTAAAAAATAAAATAGTTTTCAAATACTTTTGTATACATTATTTATTTCAATATATAGCAATGTCCAATTAACTAACATATTTTTCATTTAACTATCCTGAAATTATTTCTCAACTCTTAGAACTGAATTTTAATTTATTAAATAATATTAATATATCTATTTTATAATAATTTGTTATGATAGATTTTTAATATCAATTCCATCAAATTTTAATTTTAAGAATAAAATATTATCATGTATTCTATCAAAATAGTATTTTTATATATTATTACTATTTTTCAAAAACGGTTGGAAAATACTACTTAGCCGAATTGTTATCTCGACGAATTTCATGAAAGCTTAATTCCTGTCTCGTGATGCAAGCTTTGTTTCGAATTTTCAAGTTTCTTTAATCTCTATGGTGCTTCTCTTTGTTCTATGTTAAAACATAGGTCCTCTATAGGGAGAGATTTGTTGTTCTTCTGTAAGTATTCTTAGATTTCTAAAAGAGTGTTTCGTTTTTAAGCATTTCTTTTGGTGTTCTGAAGTTTAGATTTATAGTTTGGGTAGTTTTCCTTGTTCTCTTTGGAATTAGCATATTTTGTATTATTAGTGATATATAAAATATATAAAATATAACAAATATTCATTTTGAGATATTATTGGAATTATTTACATTACTTACTATGTATGTATATACTCAATGCATTTTACTCAATGAAAGAAATTAAAATATGTTTCATTTCATATGTTTCATATTCGAAATTTTATCTTCTAATAAATAGTTAATGAGTTAAATTGCAAATGTTTGTGCATTTATGCAAAATTTAAGTATATAATATAAATCTGAAATGCATATATCATGTAGAAAAACACAAAATATAAAAAATATATTAAATATTATCATATTTGAAGAATTAATTTCTATTTAAAGCAAATTTCTAATTAAACTCCATTTGAAGAACAGAAAATCAAAATTAGTTTTCAAATACTGATTCAGTTGTAATTAGACTGCTGATGTTTATGCATTTATGCAAAATTTGAATATATATAAATCTACAGAAGAACCTGCATAGAGAACCTGAGAATTAATAGTGTAAATATAACCAACAGAAAATTAAATTATGTTCTAATCAATAATTATTTTAATCTAATGTAAATTATTTCAATATATATTAAGAAAATGTAAAACTGTACAAAAAAAGTTATTTTTTTCTTAAACTTTTTAAAATTTTCATATGATTTATACCCTTATAATTTTTAGCTTTCCATTTCTTTGATCGAATTTATAAAAATTATAAAAATTTGAATTTAAATAAACATTTAATTATTATATTGATAATTAAAAATTATTATATTGATAATAAAAAAAGATTTCTTTTCATTATTATATATATTTCTTGATATTTATTATTTTAAAGAATTTTATTTATTATCTTTTTCATACCTCATTTTTATTAAATATTTATAACTTTTGATTAAAAATCAAAATAATAAATTATAATCCAAAAATTTATAATCAAGTGACAAAATTTAATGAGCTATATTTTTCTAATTTTAATACAAATATTATTTTAGTACAATTTTAGTAAAATTAGTAAAATTAGTAAAACTAGTAAAATTAGTACTAGTAGTACTTTAGTAAATTTTTATTCAATTGTGAAATATATCGTAATGTTCTTAAAAAATATAATGTTTATTTTTTTTATTTTTATATTTTATATTTTAAACTACATAATAAACAACTGTTATCTATTTAGGAAACACTTATCTCTTAAAAAAATGATACATTAAATATATTTTCATTTCATGGAAATGAATGTTTCATTTTTCTACATATGATTTTGCGACAATAATTTCGATATTTTTAGTGCTTCTTTATCGCTATCATTTATCTCAAAAGTCAACTTCACATCACCTGCACGGCACTTCACCATCTTCCATAACCATAAGGAATTATGTAATTTTTCTTGGTAAACAGGTGTCATCTTTTAATAGATCTTATCTAAATATTCATAAAGGATCAAATCTTCTCAATTTTGATGAAGTGTTTTACCATTCGACCACAAAAAAATAATCGTTCTCAATTCTCGTTTTCAATTCTCGTTTTCAATTGAGAATCTCGTGGTAAAAAAATATCTATTTTTATATTAATATTATAAATTAATATATTTATTTTTATATTAATATTAAAAAAAATTTCGTATGAAATCATTTTATTTTATTACTCGAAATTAAGAAAAAATATACTAATTAGAAAAACATGTACATTAAAAAGATTCTCTGGAATCATAATAGAGATATTTTGAAATTTATAATGAAAATTTTATACTGTAAAAACAAATTGAAAGAAAGAATAAAATATTATGTGTTATTTAACAAATATCTTATAACAAATGACTTATAATATTGATTAATATTGATAAGATTTCTTTTATATATATATATATAAAAGAAATCTTATCAATCTTTTATATATATATATATATGTTTCTTAAAAATTATTTATTATATTAAAAAAGTTATTTGTTACCATGTAGTGTTTTCTCTTTGATTAGAAAGAAAGTTGCATTATTTTTAATATGTAATTTGTCTAAATATAAATAAAAAATCACATATTTCAATTTCAATGAAAAATTATTTTATAATTTAATCAAATAAAAATAATTGCCAATTCTATGATTTCAATTTTTCCCAGACATAATTTTGTTTTAAAAATCGACAATTTTGATGAAAAATCACTTTATCACAGAAATATTTATTTCCAATTTTACAACACAATGGACATTTTCGACATTTCCAATACATCTCTATCATCATCAATTATCGCAAAAATCGAGCACCTGTATGGTGTCTTACAATCTTCCATGGTCATCAGAAATCATGCGTATCTCTTTCTGAAAAGCTAGTTCACCAAAACTTGTAATAAGCGAGCGTAAAGTGAAAGTATCTCATGAAACCAAGAAAAGACTAAGAAAAACGAGAAGCGAGGAGGCACGTGCCAGCTTGAAAATGGAAGCAGCCGTTTTAAGCAAAGTTCATTACCTCCGTGGAAGATTCCTCTGTAAAGGAGTCGGTTGAGTCACGTCGCCATGTCTCGAGTCATCCTCCTAAGCAATTCGTTTCGTATTCACTGGACAGAGTATTTACGGCAAGTTGGCAAGACTAGCATTTAATCCAGCTTCAAGGAAGAAACGTGGCTGGAAAAGAGGGGAAAACGAATTTAAACTGTAAGTGCGTATTGAGAATCGAGCGATCTTCGTGCGTAGAAAATTGAAAACGCGGAAGAAACGCGTGAATGATAGTTTTGTTTTGATTTTAGATGACCTAGTGATGAGAGAAACTTTTGATATAATGATCGATTAATTCTCAGTAAAATTGATTAATTATTGTTATCGATATATTATTGAATGGAAATAATTGAAATTATAAATTTTTTTATTCGAAGTTATTATAAAATATTATTTAATGATTAATGATATTTCATTGAATTTTTGATATATTTAAAAATATCGTTAAAATAATACAAATAGAAATAGATTACCATGTAGCAATTTCAAAATCTATTTTTATTTCAATTAATCAATGATTTATAAGAATTGTAATTAACTATATCGTTATAAATATCCATAATATTGATATTGATATATTGATTGAAAATAATTCGAAATTTTTCTTATTTATTTCAAAATGTCATCAATGATTAATATTTTATAAAATTTTTATAAATATATTTTATATTTAAAATATCATTAAAATAACACGAACAAAAATAGATTATAATATAAGATTATAATATAAGTTTTCAATAAAGTCTATTTATTTTTTAATTTTAATTAATTAAAAGTAATATTTTTACGTACCTTAATAATAATTTCGAATAAGAAAAAACAAAAACTCATTAGTCATTTTTATTCATATTAAACAATATCTTATCATCTTATTATCGATATATTAAAAACTATAAATATATCGATATATCATATCGATGATTGATGATCACAACTCTATGCTACAAGATGTCTCATCTTGTTATGTGTCGAATGTTTTAATACTTTATGTATTTCTCATGATTGAGGTTATCATTCATTAATGACTCAGTCGAATAGAAACATTGATTAATAGGCTTAATTGATAAACACATAACGAAAAAATAAAATATTAATTCTTACCTTCTGATAGGTAAAATCTTTATAGCGTGCAATATAGAGAATGAAAATAAAGATTGTAATGCGACGCAAATGAAATACAAAGTCTCAATTAACATGACGTTATACGATGTAGCATGTGCTTTTGTCAAAGGATCCACCGGAAAAAGAAGTCTCACATGGGTAGTAGGGAGATATTATGTTTGTTTTGCGCCTACGCGAAAAAGACGCATTTGCAATGCCAATAGACCTGATATTGACATTTTGATTTATTATTATTATCATTATGAATAGCATGCTTTTTTCATTTTTTTGAAAACAATTGAATGTATAATAATGTAAAAAGTACACAAAATATGCAAAGTATAATATACAAATTATGATATTTGAAAAGTAAAACAAATCTCTTTTTGCTAGTTATATTTATAAAAATTTTCATCTGTAATTATACATAATTGAAATTTGTATTAGATGAAGCAAAACACGAAGATAGAATAAAATGGCAATGGAATAGAGAATTAAATTATTTATAATTTAATATTAATATAATTTAATATTATTGACGTGCGTAAATTTAAAATATTTGCATTATTTACATCATTAGCGAGTCATCATTGAAATTAGAAAAAAAAATTAAATCTCAATTCAAATAATATTTTGTTCATTTTATTTTTATCTTACATAATATTATACATAATATTATATATCTAATATTTTTATATTATGATAGTAAAAAATGATTATTTTATAATTAATAATTACAAATAAATGATTTTATTTTATCTATTTAGAAAACTTTTATATCTATCTATTTATATCTATTTATATCTATTATATCTATTTATATCTATTTATATCTATTATTTATATCTATTATTTTACATATTTAATGATTTATGTATCGCATATTTAATTATAATTTTGAAATAATAAAATATTTTATCTATAATGATTTAATTTAAAATATCAAATATTATTTTTAAATAGTAAATTAATAATTTTTAAATAAAATTTTAAATAGTTTATAATTTAAATTACAATTGATAACGATCAAAATTCATACAGATAAAAAATAAATTGACGTTTTTATTTACATTGAAAAAAAATAAGAAAATAATAAATTACTTATTTCATGCTTAATTACCTTGATTATCTTTATTTTCAACGATATAGAATTTACATATTATGAAGAAAAATAAGATTTATTTAATTAAAATTTTATTTAGTTCAACAGATTAATAATTGTTCGATATTCAAATAAATTTTCACAATCAATTTGTCTTTCTAACAGATATTTCTTTAATAATTTGAAATAGAGTAATAGAGTATTTTAAAAATTGCAACATGTTATATATGATACTTGTATATGTTTACTTATCGATGCAATTTACATAAATTACATGTAAAAAAATTAGTCAGTCTTTTTTCTTTTTTTTTTTTTTTTCAAATAATGATCCCATTATGATCAAATTATTATAGCAATGTTGTTGGACATGGTTAATTTCACGAATTTCGAAGTTTTTATCTGCTATTAATCGATTTCGATGAAACAGCTGCGAATTCCAAATAAAGTATAAACTTATATAGATTTTTTTTATGGCAAAATGTAAACATAATATAAAATGACCTTCTTTTTTAAAAATTATTATAACATTTTTTTTAAATTATTATAAAATAAATTTAATTCCGATATTGCACAATATGAATTGATAAAAAAATTTCTAATAGTTAAAAAAATATTTAATTAAAATAAGATAATTAAAATATTGAATAGACATTTGAATTTTAATTAATAATAAATAATTGTAAAAGTATTATATTAATAATATTATAATATTGCAAAAATATTATAACAGGATTATATAATTAACGAAATTTATTTTGGTGTAAATTTGATATAAATATTTTAATAAAAAGATATTGATCATGTTTAAATAATTAAATTCTAAAATATTATTAAAATATTATTAAATTCTAAA